CCGCGATATGAAAATTGTGACACGCAAATACATGCATGGCGTGCAGTATGTATGCGTCTAAGTAATTTTAAATCCATCAATAAATTAAGTTATAAGTTTTGCCCATCTATAAAAGTAGTGCGATAATCTTGTACAAAAAACTTTAAAAATCTGCAGATAGTGTTTCATGCACTATGCATATGATAACGAAAAAGTACGCATTTATTAAAGGGCGTGTTAGAAAAACATTACATGGTGTTTCAGAATGGATTCTTCCACGATTGACCAAACTATTAAAGAATGCCAAGTTAATCTCTTTAACTATAGTGACTTCACGGATGTTAAACTAATTGATGAAGGCGGATTCGGTAAAATAGAAAGGGCATCATGGGAACGTGCTGGATTATTAGTCGCATTAAAAAGTCTTAAAATTGAACATAAATTAGATGAAAATGCTGTTAAAACATTTGTTAAAGAGGTTAGTAATGTAAGAATTCTTCATAATAAAAAGGTTATAAATAATTTCTAATTTACTTATATATCGTACAAAAAATAGCTTCATTTACTATTAAAAATCACGAGACACTTTCATCCTAACATCAACCAATTCCATGGTGTAGCTAAAGATTATAAGAACAATCAATACTTTTTAGTCCTGCAATATGCTGATGGCGGTAATTTACGAAATTATTTGAAACGAAATTCTGAAAAGCTTACGTGGAATGATAAACTACGTATAGCGCTAGAGATTGCTAAAGGCATCATACACTTACATGAGAATCAAGAAAAAATTATTCACAGAGACCTTGTAAGAATTTCAATATTCGAAAATTAAAAAATTTAAAATTGTTTATATTACAAGTTTAACTTTTATTTCTTTTTTTTTTTTTTTATAGCACTCTAGGAATATTTTGGTGAACGATGACAAAATGATGATAGCTGATTTTGGCATATCAAAACATATCAGAAAGAATGACTTGGTAACAACAAAGGCTGTAGGTGGCGTACCTGCTTATATGGATCCAAAATACCTTGCTGATCATGACTATGTGCGCAATGAAAAATCTGATGTTTACAGTTTTGGAGTTCTTCTCTGGGAAATTTCAAGCTGTCGTTTACCTTTCGAATCCTGTAAAAGTAGGGATGAAGTAATATTTAAAATTTTTAAAGGAATAAGAGAAACACCAGTAGAAGGTACACCAGAAGAATATGTTAATCTGTACACACGTTGTTGGGATGAAGAACCTGATAAACGTCCTAAAATTCAAGAAGCGTTCGAAATTCTTCGGCATCTAAAGTTAAAAGAATCCAATATGGAAATCCAGATTCAACCACAACCACAAAATGTGCAGTATTTAGTGCCGAATAGATCGATTGAAGAGCCTATTATAAGTATTCAACTTTCAGAAGAGCCAATACAGCTAAATTTGACCCCTCCAATAAGTCCCGTGACACCTCCATTAAATTTCGATGAGACTCTTCCGTTAAGTTCTAGAGTGACATCTCCATTAAATTCCAATGTGACGCCTCCATTAAGTTCCAATGTGACAACTCCATTAAGTTCCAATGTGACAACTCCATTCAATTCCAATGTGATCACTCCATTAAATTTCGAAAATTCTTTATCTGATAATCAAGAAAAATCAGGTGTACATTTAATAAACCAGGAACATTTTAAACTTATTTCCAAATGGATTGTTCAAGGATCTAAAAGAAACACTATTGCAAGATTTTTTGGGATAACAAGCACTTACAGTTCTAAAAAATTTGATTTCAAACTACTTGTTAAAGGTAGTCGCGATGGGTTTACACCAGCTATTTTTCATAATAGATGTGATGATAAAGGTCCTACATTGACAGTTTTAAAGGTTAAGGGTAGTAATGAAATTATAGGTGGATATAATCCAAATAGTTGGGAATCACCAAATGAGGAAAAATATTACTATACAAATAAAAGTTTTCTTTTTAATTTGAATCTTAACAAACCAGAAAAGTCAATTATAAGTAGAGCTAAGCTTCATGAATCGGTTAAATCATCAAAAAACTATGGACCATATTTTCGAGGTGATTTACGCTTATCGAAAAATTTTAAAGATGATTGTGATTGTCAATGTTATCACTGGTATTACGACAAACCAATCAGAAAAAATAGTGACTATTTTTCAGTAGAAGAATTTGAAGTATATCAAGTTTTAGGTGATTCAAGTGGTGCTAGTCATAGAACTTATTAGTGATATAGGATATGATCGTTCTTTTTATACCTGAAAATGTATTATTTTTATATTTCTATGTTTAACATTACAACATTATTGATATTTTTTATTTATTATCATTAAGATAGCAAAAGTTAAAGAAGCGCTGTGCGTTTTCACTTAGAGTATCAGATACTAAAAATTTTGGTTACTAGTTTGTTCTTATTATTTAAAATAAAATCGCTTTTAAAAACAAACACAATATAATAAATTTGTTTTTTCAAAATTTTAATTGGTAAATATTTACGACAATTTATTTGTATATGTAATATTACATAGGAATATATAGAGATTTGTTATTATGAAACACATTAGAAATGTTATGGTCGATATCTAATTAATTTGGAGCGAATTCAAGATACTATTTAAGTAATTAGAAAGCTGTATTCTAACCTATTGTTACTTTATTTTGTATTTAACGGTGATAGAGATAATTTTCAAAAAAAATATTTTTTATTCACCACTCAGATGAATTTTTCAATCATCTTTAAAAGAATATCTCGATAACTTAATTAAGAAGCCACCTAGTTAAAAAAGTTCGAAATTTTTATTGTTTGCACAGCTTATCTTAACTATAACGCTACTTTATTAACTTTAATTTTTACCGGGTAGAACAATGCTATTTAAATGAAGCCGCGGTCGCAAGATCCTATTAATGCCAAAAATGCTCGTAAAATTAGAATTTCCTACGTAAAAATGTGGGTTCACTATTTTTAACAATAAACTTATTTACTAATGAATAATCTTGGTCTTAAAACCATTTGAAATTTATATTATTGAAATTGATTTTGAATAACATAATTAGGAAGCATTTATAAATTAAAGTTTAATAACTACTTTTTTGTGTTGAAAGTATTACTTATAAGATCATTTCAGCAATCATGCATTTGTTATACCGATCTGTGATCGATTTTCGCTGCTTTGCAGTTTTTGGAAATGTTTAATACAGTATTGTAAACCCTGCATTGTATAACAATTTTTATTAAGAAAAATTCAAATCAACAAAAGTGAAAGTTTTGTCAATTTAAGCTTTTTCTTAAAAATTGTTGTACAATGCAAAGTTTATTTAAGACTCTTTTGAATTCTACAAAATAGCAGAATTCAAAGAGCTCTTAATAATGTTGTCGATAAATTTACATACAGGTTAAAAAAGATATTGTGAGCCCCAATCTACTGAGGCCCAAGTATGACCCAGGATCACGGGGTCAAGTGCAGTTTATCGCATTTATCCAATTTATCCGATTTATCGCATTTGTCGCATTTGTTAGATTTATCGGATTTGTCGCATTTGTTAGATTTGTCAAATTTATTGAATTCATTGTAATACCAAATCTTTTATTATAAATAAAAGGCCGCGAAGGCCCTTAGAAAAATAAGTTTCGTGCTGTTTACAATTATCGTCCTTAATTAAAATATACATTTTGACCCATATAGTCCTTAAGTACTTAAATAAACCCGCTATACTAAATTCTTTTTACCCAGATCGATCATTAAGTGATATAGTGAAAGATCTTCGCTCGTTACTTGTCTTGCTCACGTGACTTCGGAGAAGACTGTTTTCCGGTTGATTCTCGACGGATTGAGGACTGCCGTGGTTTTCCAACTCTCCCAACGTACCATGGACAGTTGTCGTTATTTCGTTCCGGTTTGAAGTCCAAGAGGAAGGACCAAGCCGTGGTTTTTGTGAATCGATAGTTGATAAGAAGAAGAACCGTTACCGCGTGCTATCCGGTCAACAATACAAGTCAAAGATATACTTACGATCATATTATCCACTCGCCAAATCTAAACGCCTCTAATTCGGCTAAGCCGATCGTAGGTTACACGACGCTTCGGATCGATTAGCGATCGCCGATTTTTTAGCTAATATATATTTAGTAATTACGTAACTCGGTATCACGTGATATTTTATGTAACGATTAATTTTTTTCCTGTGCCTCCTCACTTCCGTATTTGTATAACTCTTTAACGTTAAGTTGTCACTTACCGTTACCTTCCATAATTGTACTATCATAGCCATGTTAATCTTACCTTAGTAGTATTAGTATTAGGCATTATTATTATAATATATTGTTGGAGGCTTAGTTCATGCAACCGCGAGTACGTGGTGGTTGCAGCGAATACGCCGAGGTTACCGTGAATACGAGGAAGCTACCGCGAGTACAATGTAGTCATTAATCGCACTCTAAAAAATTATCATGTATATAAGTACTTGCTCTCATCCTTAGTTGAGAGAGAAGACGCTCTCCAAAATTCCTCTCATAAATCAAGATAACATAAGTTCACATTCTTTTTATCATAAATGCTTAATAAATCATGAATATCCGAATATCTAATTTATTGCCAAATTCATGTGACCCTTTTAACGTCAGTTAAACTCGGCATGAAGTACCAAGCTCTCTCTTACGATGGTTACAATACCCAGGGACCTGGAAAAATCACATTTTGATTTGTAAAAAATTCATTCCGATTTTGTTAAAAAATCCGTTTTATACCGATATAAAATCTTTTATATACCATTATTAACTACTAGTGCGATGGGTTCAATTGTCAAGTTTATATATTTATTGAGTTCATTTATAATCATTTAAATAATGGCATACAGTATATTTGTCGATAAAATTATTGCAGTCGATTCTGTTCAAATTCCAGAATTTAGGATCTTTAATTTATATCGGCCTAGTTTTGGGGTGTAGTGAAAATTTATACAATAAGAATGGACTTCCAATTTTGAAGTTTGTGTGGTATGTATCTTTTGGGATGTAACAATATCAACAGAATGTATATATTAATTTGAGTGTTTGAGAGTGGAAACTAGGAAGTGAATATTAGCATTAGAATTACATAACTTTTAACATCAAAATCAGTATAAATCATGTGATAATACTCAGCTCTAAAAATTCCTTTTTATACCTTTTTGTGCCAAAAATTCCATCTTATTCATATATATATATATATGAACTTTTCCGGGTCCCTGTAGATACCTAGTACGTAAAAGAACCAACCGATCTGTAGAAGATACTACATTTAAAGCCTTCTTTGTCTACAGAAAAGTTTGGAAGTGCTACACGTGATTTTATGGATCTATGGGCCAGAAAAACTTTTGTCTGGGCTGTAATTGATTACTATATTTGGATTAGCGAACTACCGAAGTATCCTCTCGTTTATTCGTTAATTTAAAGACCAAGATGGATTGTTACACGAATCATCTCAGAAGTACGTATGTGTACAGTATGAAAATATCACCTAATTTAGTGTAATGCTGTAATGTGTATTCATGTCACATCAAATGACATAAATAGAGGTACTGTACGTAACGTAAACAGACAATCCAAAAAATGGATTCTTTAATAACTACGACGATTAAAGCAAATGGAATCCATTTTTGTGATTATAATGAATTCACAGACATTCAAGTAATTGGTGAAGGAGGATACGGAAGAATAGAAAAAGCATACTGGAAAAGTCGTGGACTAATAGTTGCACTAAAGAGTCTTAAAGTTGAGCATGAGGAAGGCGTTGTCAAATCGTTTATAAAAGAGGTTTGTAATATAAGACTTCTATTATATAAAAATTTATTCTATGATAATACTTTTCATTATTTACAAATATATTTATTGCAAAAATATTTTTTAAGAATGTATTAATAAATGCATTGTTTACTTATATTAACTAAAATCATTATACAAAATTCAAAAAAAATTTTATAGCTTCTGTTATTGTTTAATATCACGAAACACTTTCACCCTAATATTAATCAATTCCATGGCGTGGCAAAGGATCATTCAACTGGGCAATATTACTTAATCCTACAATACGCAAATAACGGTAATTTGCGAGATTATTTGAAAGAGAACTTTGAAAAACTTACATGGGATGATAAAATACGTATAGCGATGGAGATTGCTATGGGCATCATACATTTACATGAAAGTCACGAAAAAATCATTCATAGAGATTTGGTAAGAAATTCTATTATTTAGAATTAAGAATTTATCTCTTCTCAAATTGGTCTGATTGTGATTTTTTATTGATTATATCGAAGATGTAAATTTATGAGTTCTGTAAAATGAGTACCATTAAATGGAAAATCTGTGATCATTTTCTTATACATTTGATAATTTTAATCTTATGGGATTCAATCTCCAATGGTGCTATTTTAACATCATCAAAGTTAAATATCGAAAGTGAAAAACATCAAATGCATAAGATGTAACTATCGGCGGCACTCAAAATTAATGCAATAATAATTAGATTCTATGTAAATTAATAAAAGATCAAGATCAGAAATTTAAATGAGTTAAATTAATAAATTCAATTTTATATCTTTTACAGCATTCAAAGAATATATTGGTACATAATAGTACAATGATGATAGCTGATTTTGGTATATCCAAAGAGTGGAAAAACCAAATGATGACTACAAGAGGTGAAACTGGTCCTGGCGTACCCGCATACATGGATCCAAAATACCTTGCCGATCACAAGTATTTTCGTAATGAGAAATCTGATGTCTACAGTTTTGGAGTTCTTCTTTGGGAAATTTCGAGTGGCCGGCAACCATTCGAATCTTGTACAGGCAGGGATGAAGTAATATATAAAATTTTTGGTAAAATGAGGGAGACACCAATGGAAGGTACACCGGAAGAATATGTTAATCTGTACACACGTTGCTGGGATGAAGAACCTGATAATCGACCTAGTATCCAAGAAGCGTTTGAAATTCTACGGAATATGATTTCGAGAGAACATGTGAATACACCAGAATCTCAAGGTATTGTTGAGAATCTGTTGTGTGATTCTCCCACATCAGCCTCTTGTGAATCTAGAATCGATTCACAAGAAGACCCTAAAGAATATTTATTAACGAAGGAGAAATTTGACGTTATTTCTAAATGGATGATTAATCAAGCCTCCCAAAAACATAGACCTATGATTAAAAGACTTCTTTCCTTTCCGACTTCTCCAACCTCACAACA